CCCGCTCCCCAATGCTGTACCTTGCTTCTCAGTGGAATTCTCAGCCAGCAGCAATGACGTCGTACGGCAGACTTCCTGCAGCTGGAGTCGTGATTTGGGTTTGACTAGGAATGCCTGGTGGTTTAAATACACACTGCATTTGGGGAAGCACTGTCCACCTCAGTAGGTGTGGACCTGGAATTCTGCACTTTCCACAGCGTCCAGATGCTACTGCAGCTGCTGGTCCATGGGCATACGTTGATAGTGCCGCTCCACAAGGAGAAACTCCCATGGTTCCTTCTGGACTCTCCAGCTGTGGTAGACTCTCAGCAGATAGCCCTGCGTTGTCCCAGCTGTTAGGAAACATGATGTCGGTGTGCTCTAATGGTGTACTTACTAGTCCCCTGTGCAGTTAAAAAATGTTTAAATATAGATGTGCAGACCTGGACTTTAGAAAATTCTGGAGAACCATGTCCTAAATTGTTCAGATACATGCACAGAGATGACAGCTAACGCCCAGCGTGCACGAAGTGTCAGCAGTAACTGCTCCTGGCAGTCCGGTGTGTTAGGTGTTGGCAGTTCTGGTCTTCAAACTATGCATGGAAAGAAAAACAAATATCCCAGCTTGTTGGCTCTCGGTTTGAAAAGTATTAGTAAAACAGAAACCCTGGGCTCTTGTCACTCACATTATCAAGTTTGGGTCCAACTTAACTTCTCAGAGCCCCTTTGTCTCTATCAGTAAGATTAAGGAGCCTCCTCAGGTTCAGACCGAGTCAGAATGGTTTATTCACGGCCATTGTCATCAAAGACTGTACACATGTGTGGCGTAGAAACCAGATCTGTTTGTTGTTCATGGCATTTTAATCTGAAGTTAAAGCAAACAGAACTAATGGCATAATTGGGTATGTATGCATTGGGCTGGTAACCACACAGTCAGCAGTTCAAACCCACCAGTCTCTTTGCTAGAGAAAGATGAGGCTTTCTGTTCCCATAAAGATGTAAAGTGTCAGAAAGTGAAAAGAACAGTTCTGCTCCATCCTGTCCGATCACTGAGTTTGGTTTTTTGGTGGAGGAAGCAGACTGCTGTGTCCGTCCCGAAGATGGCAGCTGCCCACGCTGCTCCGATTGCATTACCGCCCAGCGAGTCTGTGTGCAGCTGACGGGACTCTTTTCTGGGTCCGATCCCTTGAGTTAGAGAAATTGGTCGAGCAGAGCAGCTGAGAGACAACCGTTTGAGTCACTAGACATGATGTTGCCTTGAGTAAGATACCAACGATTTTTGAGATTTGTTCTAAGTTTGTTTCTTTGTTTTCTCTCTCTGCTGCACAAGATCTCTTTTATTTATTTAATTTATTTTAAAACTCACTTTATTTAGGCTTTTACGGCTCTTAAAACAATCCATACATTAATTATATTAAGCACATTTGTACATATGTTGTCATCATTTCCAAAACATTGTCTGTTTTTTCTAAAGAAAGCTCTGTGTGTGTGAGAGAATTAAGTGTGAGTCTATCTATGTACTATTATGTTTTTAAGAAGTCCTGGTGATGCTTTGGGCTAGGCGTTGGGCTGCTAACTACAAGGATGGCAGTTGAAATCCATCGGCTGCACTAAGGGAGACAGATGAAGCTGTGTGCTTCCGTGAAGATTGACAGTCTCAGAGACCCTGGGTAGGGTCACTGTGAGTCAGAATCGACTCCTCAGGCAACAGGGTCTTGTTGTTGTTTTTTATTGGGGCTTGTGCAGCTCTTATCACATTCCACACATCCATCCATTGTGTCAGGCACATGTGTACATTTGTTGCCATCATCATTCTCAAAACATTTGCTTTCTACCTGAGCCCTTAGTATCAGCTCCTAATTTTTCCCCTCCCTGTCCCACCCACCCTCCCTCGAGAACCCTTGATAATTTATAAATTATTATTTTTTTCATGTCTTACACTGATCCATGTCTTCCTTCACCCACCCTTCTGTTGTCCTTATATATAGGTCATTGTGATAGGTTCCCCCTATCTTCCGCTTCCCCTTCTGGTATTGCTACACTCATTATTGGTCCTGAGGGGTTTATCTGTCCTGGATTCCCTGTGTTTCCAGCTCTTTTCAGTACCCATGTACATCCTCTGGTCTAGCCAGATTTGTAAGGTAGAATTGGGATATTGATAGTGGGGAGGGGAGGACATTAAAGAACTAGAGAAAAATTGTATGTTTCATTGGTGCTATACTGCACCCCGCAACCCTTCTGTAAGGGGTGTCCAGTTGCCTACAGATGGGCTTTGGGTCTCCACTCCCCACTCCCCCTCATTCACAACGATATGATTTTTTTTTCTTTGATGCCTGATACCTGATCCCTTCGACACCTTGTGATCGCACAAGCTGGTGTGCTTCTTCCATGTGCACTTTGTTGCTTCTCAGCTAGATGACCACTTGTTTATCTTCAAGGCTTTAACACCCCAGATGCTATATCTTTTGATAGCTTGGCACCATCAGCTTTCTTCACCACATTTGCTTATGCGTCCCTTTTGTCTTCAGCGATCATGTTGGGAAGGTGAGCATCACAGAATGCCAGGTTATTAGAACAAAGTGTTCTTGTGTTGAGGGAGTACTTGAGTAGAGCCTCCTTGTACGTCTCCTATCTTAATACTTAACATACATAAATATATGTACATACGTCTATTTCCCTATCATTATATAGAGATATGTTTACATATGTACATGCCTGTATTTAGACTTCTATAAATGCCCTTAGGCAATAGGATTTTTAGGTTGGTTATTTCATTAGAATCTCAGGTGCTGAGATGAGAGGTGAGTGCTTTCCCCGTGGACTTCCATTTGTTGTTTTGTGTGCTGGCTTCCATTTTGTAAGTAGTTTTTGTTCTGTATGAACAGCGAGCAGCATTTTCTCTCATTGGCTTGTGTCTGTATTAGATTTGCAATTAACAATGAGACTGGCTAGTGAATAACTTGGATAGGCCTTTGGTATTATAAGTTTTATGAAATGTTCACCTCAGTTGCAATTTTTAATTTCCCCTCTTAATCCCTCTTCTTCTCTTGCAGTCGAAAACAATCCTCGAACAGGGAACCTCGCAGCACTGATTAAGGTCTTCCTTTCTAGAACCAAAGAGCTGAAACTTTCCGCAGAATGCCAGAAGTAAGTCAGTGATTAAAGTGCACTCTCTCTCTCTCTCTCTCTTTTCTAAATCGTTTTATTAGGGGCTCCTACAACTCTTATCACAACCCATACATACATCAATTGTGTAAAGCGCATTTGTACATTCATTGCCTCCATCACTCTCAAAACACTTGCTCTCCACTTAAGCCCCCGGCATCAGGTCCTCATTTTTCCCCTCTCTCCCCGCCCCCCTCCCTCATACACCTTGATAATTTATAAATTATTTTTTCATATCTTACACTGTCCGACGTCTCCCTTCACCCACTTTTCTGTTGTCCATCCCCCAGGGAGGAGGTCACATGTAGATCCCTGTAATCGGTTCCCCCAAGTGGATTCTTTTTATAGTTATCAATGCAAACATTGTTTTTAAAAAATTGGGAAATAGACTGTTAGACCAATAGACTAACCTAGTACTCTTGAAAACCCTCCTGTTATGGAATTATTTCCATTATTTAGGAGAAGAGGTTAAAGGAAGGTTTTAGTTGCCTGTGCAAGCCATTGGGATAGGATTATAAATTCTGGAATCTATTTGATTTCACGACTTTGGGTAGCTCTTAGAGATGCATTCTCCAAGAAGATGAATTGTGATGCACTTTTCACACACAAAAAAAACAATAGTCACTACTAATCATGTTTAAAGAGTGACTCAGTTTGATTGTTTTTTCATTCCACATCTGTTGCTCCTATTTTTCCCATGTTAGATCCAGTGGAAGGCTATGTTACGCCCTTGAGTGTTTAGTTTTAGATGAATGGCAATCTTAAATGACTGGTCATTGGCCTCCCTCTAAACAGAGTCTACTTAATCCACTTAAAGTTTTTCTCGTCAGTTCCCGGTCATTAACACAAATAGTAAATATACTATTCTGCTGGTGGTAGCCCTTTAAATGTGTTGTTACATGTTACAGTTGCCACTTGGGGGATTGGTTTCAGGACCTCCCTGCTTCCCTCCTCTCTTCCATGGACACCAGGGTCAAATATAAAATGATGTGGTGTTTGCATATAACTTGGGCACATTCATCTGCATACTTGAAATCATCTCTAGTTTACTTACTGTACCTCACCCAATGTAAATAGTATGTTCGGTTCCCTTTTATCCTTTGAAGGATGACTTTGACCACCTTGTTGCTTTTTCTCCCCAGACACTCAGCCCTAGTATTTTCAGTCCAAGGTTGGTTGAATAAAAAAATGTGGAACCTATGGATATGGAGGGCCAGCCAAATTTGCATATGTTTTCCTCATGTTGCCGTAATTTAAAAAGCTCCTTAAGGTCTGGCTCCTGTGCACTGCGTCTCTGTGGGCCACTCTAAGGCAAGAACAGAGAGCAAGGAGCAGGGCATGCCACAGTCCTGAAGATGTTCACTGTGCTGGCTCTTTGAGTAGAACACACAGAACAAGGTCCTAAGTAACCTGCCACCATGATCACAGATCCAGCGTAGCAGTCAGAGGATAATGATGAGGGAGGGTTCAGGGGCCTGGTTGGGGTGTTCCGAGCAGGCGAGGAAGTCGGGGCGAGATGTAAACCATGCTGCTGCTCCTGACTCAGCACTGATGCTCCTGTGGCTTTGCTCTCTCCCTTGCAGCCACATTTTCATCTGGCAGACCCACAATGCTCTGTTCATTATTTGCTGTTTGCTGAAAGCCTTCATCTGTGAGATGACTGAAGAGGAATTGCAGGTTCATTTTACTTACGAAGAAAAGCCTCCTGGCAGTTACAGTAAGTCTCACGTCTCGGGAGGACCTGGAGATCACACACCTCACCTAGAGTTTACATATTTGAGGATTGGAAGTGAAACCTTGAACGTTTGCTTTTCTCCCACTGTAATTTTTTTGTGTGTGAGTGTATATGAATTTGTTT